GTTTATTGCTTAAGAATTTGTTGTATTTTTGCTAATTTTATAATTTATATCATGTGACATGTCCTACATCAATGTAATTGAATTGAAGGTATTTACATTCTATAAATCCTAAGCAGGTTAGTACCTTTGGATACAGAACAAGTCAAAAGGTTACATACATAAGTACATGCAATTTTAGCTTAAAAATTAATATAACTTAATTTTACATCATTCTCTATTTACATTGAAGTATTCATCTAAAGAGTAGAAGGAATGAGCATGTAGATAATTCTTTAACTCTGATTTAAACTTTTTAGTATCATTGCCCAAGTTTTTAATACTTTGTGGCAGATTGTTGAACACTTTTATGCCAGTAAAGTAGACTCCTTTTTGATATACTGATAAAGTTGATGAGGGTAGGTGGAAGTTATATTTTTGTCTAGTATTCATGTTATAGACATCAGAATTTAATTTGAATTTATCTTTGTTGTAAACAACAAATAAGAGAAGCGATAATATGTATTGCGATTGAAGAGGTAGAATTTTTAATTTCTTAAATAATTCTCTACATGAATCTCTACTTCTACATCCTGTAATGATTCTAATTATATTCTTTTGTATTTTAAAAATTATTACACTATGTGAAGAGTTCCCCCAAAATATTAATCCATAGTTCATAATAGAATGAAAGTAGGCATGGTAAACCATCTTCAATGTTTCCTGTGACATAAAAGGCTTAATTGATCTCATCGCATAGCAAGCTGCATTTAATTTAGGTATAATTTGTTCAATATGTATTTTCCAAGACAGTGTACTGTCTACATGTATTCCAAGGAATTTTGTATCAAGTACTTTACAGATTAATTTGTTGGCATAACTGATGTCCAGATCAATTTGGTGGTTGTTTTTAGTTGTGAATGATATGTAATGGGTTTTATCAAAATTTAATGAGAGTAAATTGGCTTCGAACCATCTGTTTAAGGCTTCAAATACAATATTTATGTCATTTTTAAAGTTTTCAAATTTAGAGTTCTTAAATATTATACTAGTGTCATCTGCATATAGAATTGGTTTAGATTTATTGTTGATGGTTTTAGATAGATCATTTATGTAGAGAAGAAAAAGTAAGGGACCTAAAATTGATCCTTGTGGAACACCGTGCTTTATAATTCCCCAGTTTGAAAATGCATTATGACTGGAGTTTTTATTATTTATTTCAACTCTTTGATACCTGTTTTTGAGGTATGATTTGATCCATTCATTAGCTTTGCCAGTTATTCCATAGAAATTTAATTTCGATAGTAAGATATCATGATTAACACAATCGAAAGCTTTTGCTAGATCACAGAAAATCCCTCCCACAATTAATCTGTCATTGAGAGCACTTAAAATATCGTTAGTTAGTTCATAGGTTGCTTTTTCTGTTGTTAGGTCTTTCCTAAATCCAAATTGCTCTTTGACTAATATGTTGTTAGAATTTAAGTGTTCAAGTAGTCTATTATACATAACTTTTTCAAAGACTTTTGAGAATGAAGTCAATATGGATATTGGTCTGTAATTAGAGATGCATTTTCTCTCTCCTTTTTTAAAAAGTGGTTTCATTATAGCGTATTTTAAGCGTTGAGGAAAAGTACCTGATGATAAAGATTTATTACATAGATGATTCAAGGGTGAACTGATGTAAACAGAGCTTGCTTTAAGTAATTTGGTAGAGATTTCATCATATCCATGTGAATTTTTGGGCTTAAGGGATTTAATAATGTTTTCAATTTCCTTCCTTGTTGAGAATTTGAGATTGATATTTGGAAATGAATTGTTAAAGGCACGAGACAGATAGTATATTGGATTATTATTATTATTATTATTATTATTATTATTATTATTATTATTATTAGTATTGTTGTTATTGGAATATGTTTTCTCAGCTAATGAAAGGAAATATTCATTAAATGCACTTGCGATAGCTTGTGGATTGTTAGTGGACTTCCCTTCAATATTCAAACTTTGTACGTCTTCATTAACAGATTTCTTTCCTGATTCAACTTTCACAATATCCCAGGTGGTTTTAATTTTATTGTTTGATTTTAGAATTTGGCTGTTATAGTTATTCTGTTTGGCTTCTTTAATGACTTTTGACAAAATTTTACAGTACATTTTGTAGTGACTTTTTAGTCTTGGATCATTACTGTCCCTACTGGCCAAATATAGTTGTCTTTTGTGTTTACATGAAGTTTTTATTCCAATTGTTATCCAGGTGGATTTGTTTTTATTTTCATTTTTGACTATTTTTAAGGGAAAGCTTGAATAAAAGATCCTCAAGTATGTGTTCAGAAAGCAATTAAATTTAGAATCAATATTATTGCTGTCAAATACATTGTCCCATGATTCATTACTTAATTTTGTGACAAAATCTGCCATCGTATGCTTGTTGATTTTCCTTACTGTTTGATATTGTTGATTACTGGGCTGAAGGTCAATATTATTTATTTCTATGAGTTGAGCATCATGATCGGATAAGCCATTTATAAAGGGTCCTACAGTATAGTCTCTTAATTTTGAGTTATCAATGAATATATTATCTATCGCTGAACTAGAATTATTTTGAACTCTTGTGGGAAAGTTAACAGTACTGGAGAGATTGTAAGATGATAACAAAGAGTCTAAATTTAGTTTCCTATTACTGTCGATGAGATAGTTTATATTTATATCACCACAAATTATAAATTCAACTTTTGAACTATGCAGTACATTTAGGATGGTTTCTAATCTATTTATAAAGTGATTGAAGTTTCCAGATGGGGCTCTATATAAAGTCAGTATACAAATATTAGAAAAAGGAGAGTCTAACTTTAGAGCACATGCTTCCAGATCCTGGTCTTTGCAATAATCTTCTAAATTTATTTTAGTAAATTTTAGGTTTTCATGTACAAAAATACTCACTCCTCCTTTCTCCAGTGTTTTCCTACAGTATCTAGCACCTAAATTATAATTTTCTAAGTGAAGATGTTCTAATTCCAGCTGTTTCATGTGATGTTCAGTAAGGCACAGTATGTGTGGAAGATTTGAATTCATGGAGCTTATTAGTTCATTTGTTTTGTTTCTCAATCCTCTTATATTCTGATGGAATATTCTTAGTACTTTATTATTCACTGAATTTAGTAGACTGCAATTACCTTTTCCGATTTCTATTGGTTCACTAACATTATTGTCTGAAAGATTAGTTTCTTTTGCAATTTCTTTTACTTGATAAACTTTACTTGCACTCTTTATCCTAAAAAATGATTCTGAACACCCATGACAACTGGAATGTGTCTGCCCTTAATGCTCTCTGCAATGAGTCGCGTCAGCTTGTCCTTGCCTCGAGGATTAAGATGCAAACCATGGACAGTATGTTCGCTCCTCAATATTGAAGAGACATCAATCGCATCAATGTGGGCCGCGCCGACCTCCACAAGCGAACGCTCAAGCCGAAGATTAATCTCCCTTACACACCTGTTAATCCATGGCTTGTCATGTCGCCAGAAAAGACCAACAAACCTCACATTGGTGTGACTAGTTTTCTGGGCAATGTCACTTAAATCTTTCTCAATTTGATAATTGAGGTTTCTCTCCAAACTGTTACCTGGCCCCCCAACTATAACTACCTGATCTTCCTTACTAAAACCTTTGCACAATTTTCCAATGTCCCCAGTGACATTGCTCAGATCAGCATTGGGCTTGAATATGCTGGTCACAGCATATGCATCTCCCATTGCTTTCTGTAGCCTCTGCCCGATACCCCTACCATGACTGCTACCCAGCACTAGAATCTTACGCTTAGGCTTAGCCTCTAACACAGGCTGATCTATAGCGTCACCATCAGTCTGAGGCCCTAGCATAGCTAGAGGTTCAAATCGATTGGTTAAAGCTAACTTAACATCTAGTGAAGAAGGAACTTTTTTAAGTTTTCTTCGGGAGTTGGACACAGTCCTAAATTCTTCAGGACAATTATCTACTAAATTTAATTCCCCTTTTAAGAGGTCAATCTCAGTTCTTGCAAGTTCCAGCTCCCTTTTCAAACTCAAGATAGTCTCCTCTTGTTTCTTTATTACCTTGGCTTGCACACAGGAGTTGCAGTACCAAGGTAATATGGCCAAATCACTATTGGTGCCAGAGCACTCCCAATGAAACCACAGGCCACAGTCCTCACATCCTGTCCCCTGGCTAACCTTCCTTCTGCAGGCCCCACATTTACCTGATAAGTCGTTACCCCTTGTGGACATTATTACCACTTATGTTAACTTATAATTCAGTACTAACTAACAGATATATTTAAAGAATCTAATTTGTGATTAGGACTTACAAGAGTATATGCTGTCACAAATCTTTTAAAGCCCACTATATACAATGATACACTTATTTTAATCTGAACTATAGGATGAATAAACATGAATGGCTGAATGTATGTATAAAACAGCACACTACATAATCATGATGGGGGAAAAATCACATTAAATAAAATTAACTGTAACTCATACTCTACAAGATGACTGAATAACCAAATGAAAACTGGAAGACACTTCATATCAAAGAAACTGTATAAGAAAACTGACTGTAATATCTATGAAACTGCAAATTGGTCACAGTAGTAAATTTTGATTTACCTCTCTCCCCACGCTGTATACATTATACTTTATGTAAAATGTCGAAGATAAAAAACCTGAAAAGAAGTTTTCGGGGACCTTACATTTTAAGTTTTAACAAACCAGTTCGTCATAATACAATTCACCCAGTAATTATATTATACTCGTACATACACTTACAGACACTGGTCAATGTAGATAACATTTACGCGACAATATATGTAAAATCCTAATGTTGGCCAATAGGCAAAAAAGATGTTGCATAATGAAGAACTGTAATTGATTCAATTATGCATAACTATGTTAACAGAGACTCTCGTATCGGTTAAACAAGGAAACACAACATGACACTCCAGTAAATATTTAGACAACTTCAACATCAGGGTGTAAAATACCTGCCTAAGATAACGGCGTAAATAAATATCTATTACTCAATCATCATCCGGCTCGTCGTACAAATACAAATTCAAATTCAAATGTCTACATCTAACTGATCTAAATCAAAGATTACCTAAACCAGGCCCTCGACTGTTATTGGTTGGTTGCGAACGCTACGAAGCAATGGTACCCATAATCGCTGCAGGAAGGCATTAATACTGCCATCTATACTCCTATTAGCAGATTACTACAAAATGGCCGCCGCTACCAAGAGCTCTGCCGGTAACTGTCATAGCAAGCATTTGCTCGGTTCATCTCTGTCTGACGCAATTATCCCGAAAACATGCATGGTTTTCCTCACTACCTATAAATGCTGGGTCAGTACCACTTCAATACACCACCATCGTCATACATGGCTATGTAACCTACACGGGTACAGCTTTTCATTTCATTTTTATTTCATTTAAATCTCAACTTACAAGTGAGTTATAAAATTACAAAGACAATATAACAAGCAATACACATTTCAAAATCATAAACTCTGATATATTTGGGACAGAAGCTCCCAGAAACACAGTTCAACGTATAATCTTATGCATCATGGGAGGAAACTCCCCAGAAAACTGTCGAACAAAATGCAACACATTCCGGAACCCATAGGTCAACTGATTTACTTAATACCATGGGCAGAAAGCTCCATCACAGTTACCACATATTCTTTGTCTATTCAGTACTATTACTTCAGCTCTTGGACCAATATCCGATCATGTGATGAAAGATTGTACAAGAATCCTTGGTTATAAATGGCAACTGAATATAGGCCTAAGTGAACAGTATTTATATTACTGCATTAAATTATAACAGTACTAAAGACTACTGAAGTGAAACATCACTTCCAATTCCATAAATCCCACACATAACTGAAAACCTTGAGTGTCCCATTTCCTGCCTTCCAGTACTCACAGTTTACATGCACATATATGCTACAGCATCAAACTTAATGTCATCTTTCTGTGAGTATAAAATTATAGTGAACTAATAAAGGAATGTGTCATTTTATGTACTGTCACAGGAAGTGTACAAACCAGCTACTGCAACAGCACTGGACAAGGTGTCTGCCCCAAGCCATGCTCGGCACCCACTGCTTTGAGGGCTGCACACGGATATTCTTCATTAATGAAACCACTTGGATTTCCACCGACACATAGCAGTGCAATAGCACTTTATCATAGAAATGTTGCAAACATTTGCAGGCAGATGAAGTGAGTTGGTTGTTGATGACCTACATAGAAGTGAAGAAGTGAATCAAGGGAAGATTTCAAATGTGTATGCACTATCAAGAGAATGGTACATCATAAATGTACCTTACATTCCCCAGCATTACATGTGCTACAGTATCCACAATGTATTTACATTCCCGCCATGCGAACCATGCACATGTGCTACATGTCCACATCTTTCTTCATCAAACAGCTGTGAACACATCTCAGAATCTGACACATTCACGTCCCTGCTCCTTGCACAGCTCAGTAAGTAGCAAGCTACAAGAGCTGTGGTGTATCCACCTTCCTGCTACACTACCAGTTCAAACACATACAGCGTTCTTGTCCGTTAGTTGATTGAACAGCTGCCTGTAACAAGACCTGTACAGTTAGGTGAGGAAAGACACTCACTTACCAACATGTCAGCACGCACTCCCATACCCCCATACTACTACACTGAGAGCAAGATACATACCTGTGCATGTAACAAAAGATATAGCCATTACGTTGCCGGGCACTTCCAACCACCTCATCCTGCGTATGACGTGACACTTCATCATCATCATAGTGGTACCACTGCTGCTGCTCCAAGTTGAACACATCTGCCACATAGTGACCTGCACACAAACTTGCCTTAGATCAATGCATTTCAGTTCACAAGACTTAAATTTCAATTATTTTCTGACAAAAATCAATATAAACTGATACTTCTGGTTAATGTGTTCATGGGGCGATGAACAAGAAGGATTTAAAGGTGTTTCAAGTGTTTGACAATGACAGAGTAAGAGATTACAACGCTCGCAGCCAAAAAGGAAGGACACATCACAAGACACAGTACACAAAAAATATAGGAAAAATGACTCCCATAGTGGAAGAACCATACAATATGCAAGATTGAATTAAGACGCATCAGATGAATAATCTTAACAAGTTTTAGTGTATACAAATTTTATTATCAGAGTGATTCACGAAGTTTTACCCCCACTTAGGGAGGGCATTCCTGAGGTAATTTGGAACAAAAAATGTTAATATACTAATGGTATCCAACTCATAATTAAAGAGATACAGTAATTTGAAAACTGACGAAAAATCTTTTTTTCTTCGAATTTCAGTCAAAACAAATTAGAAATACAATACAAACACGTTTTATATCGTTAATGTTTAAGGAAAGAAGCATTCTAAAACCAATTTTTTTTTCAGTCTCTTAAGTTTGCATTGTGCAACATTTTTCATCTATTTTATGTTACAAAATTACATTATTTTCAGCATCCCAATCTGTAAAGATACCAATGGTTGCATTACACCCTTCTATCAATCTGTTTCCTTTAAACTGTAGTGCTTTAGAAGACAACTAGATTTACATAAGATTTTCACAAATTTCTCCCTGCACGTCAACACAACGCGTCGCACACGTATGAACTGTGCTCGTAGCATTTCGCAGTTCCACACGTTTGTTCCTTATTGTCATCAGCACGTCTGGAATACGTTCAAGCAACGCTTCACGTGCTTGTATCTTTACCTGGTACACAATGTCCTTCATCCAGCCCCAAATGCAATAAAATGAACGGCCCTATTAGCTGATCATACAGAACACCACACCAGACATTGACACTGAATCGGTGTTGAAAATTTGATTCTATCGTGGCACGGGGATTATTGTCTGCCCAAACATGTAAGTTGTGACTGTTGTTGACCCCGTCCCATGTAAACTGTGCCTCATTGCAGAACATCATCAAGCAGTACAATTGCCGATTTCCATTTAACCAGTTGCAGAACTGCAGACAAAGAGCAGTCTCCTGGTTGTAGGTGTTGTACTTGCTGTAAATGATAAGGATGCAGCCCGTTCCCATGAAGAGTCCTCCACGCCATGGACTGAGAAAAACCGAACCACCGGGCTAGACGTCTTGTACTGGCACACGGACTGCACTCTACAGCATCGAGAATGTTTTCTTCTTCGCACAATTCATGTTGAGGATTTTGTTCGTATTGTATACAAACGCTGGGGAGAGAACCAGTTTATCTTAATGTGTTGAACGTACTGCTAATGGATTTAGGATTCGGAATCCTGCACTTAGGATAACGCCGGTCATATTCGGCAGCAGTGGCTCTCGCATTTCCATCACATACACCCAAAACAAACACCATATCGGCGTATTCCGCAGTGGAAAATGTGTACAGCATCTTAACTTCACAGTCACCAACACAATGTCCTATTTACGACTGGAACACTCTGCCTACCTACGTGCAACATTCCAGCCGGTCTATGCTATCTGCTGACACAGCTGACTGGAACACATGGTCGCCCAGTCAGGGGGGTGGGGGCATAGCGCTGCATTCACAATGATGTGTTTCGAAAATCCATTGTTACTCCATGACTATTGAAAATCTACCACAAGTTTATAAGGAAATTTTGCAGGAAATAACCCCAGGAATATGTACCATAAGCCGGGGTAAAACTTCGTGAATCACCCTGAAGTTGAAGAAGAATGTACATTTTAATAATTTTATGAAAGACACGTGATGGCAGGCAATGCAATAGCTTAGCGTAAATAAAGCACCTGAGGATGACACAATGTTGCCAAAACATGTAGTGAAGTGACACGTGAAATTGAGTGCACTACAAGACGGCCATTACATACATATCTTGGATGAGTAAGAAAACAATCATGAACTGGGAAACCCCTGAAAAGTGCTGAATGGACAAAACATGGATACCCACCACAGTTGGGTGAGATGCCCTGGTGCATGACGACACACACGAGTCTGTAGCTGTAGTCTGGGCTCTCATCTTCCCCGTCCACTTCACTCAGTGGCACATCAGCATCCCCCTGCAGACACACACAACATGACACTAGGACAAGGCACTGCAATGTGTCCATATGCTATGACCTCCATTTTTATGAGCCCCTAATGCATCTCTCCTCTTTACTGTCTCATTATCCACCCACATCAGAAATGGACACCTTCACCACTGCCAAGGTAGGCAGAAGTCAGGAAGCATAATTAGCCACATCAAACAGGGGAAACCACAATTAATGCTATTCATTTCAACCTCCTGCCTTGTATACAAAACCCCAGGGCCATCACATCAGCATTAGATTCCAAGAGAACTTTACTGTATTTATAGACACAGCAGAAGTGCCCATGTTTGTGGTGAATCAGTAACTATGTAGGCTTTGAGGAGTGTTAGGAGTTTAAATCTCTAGTCATTAGCCCCTAAACTTCACTTTCCTACATATATTTCCCATCATTCTTAAGAAATTGTAACCTGCAATTCATTTTCCCAGTGACATCTCTGACCAGCTACATGCAACAGAAGTGTCCAGTGGCACCAGGTGTATCAGGATGTTACCAACAGTGCCGCATAACACATTGAATCTAGAAGAGGGAGGGGCAGAGCTCACCGGCTGGGGGGCACAGTCCTCGTCCAGCATAAGCTGCTGCTGCTCCAAACTCAGCCTGATTGCTTCCTGCAGCTCCGAATCCTCATCAACACTCTGGCACATAACCTCCTGCAAAAATCAATTTGCAACACACTGATGCTGACAACATTGCCCACTGTGTCCCCTGTCATTACTTAAGAGGGCACTGGAGAAATCAGTGTAGAGCACTAAAATTAACTCCAAGAACCAGTTTCAGCCTACTTCCCTGAGTAGATTTGTGATTTCCATCCTGTCTGTGCTGTGAATACCACCCCCTATCAACTTCTGAATGCCTGTACCAACCTTTATGAAGTTCAGTATGTACAGTGGAACCTTGCTTAACGAGCACCTCTCATGAGTAATTCACATAACAAGTAAAACAAATTGTAAAACAATGACTCGCTTAACGAGCGACGTTTCGCATAACGAGTGATGAGAGGGGACGTCCCGGATTATGCACTTGCTACATCAGTCTGTGTTTAGCACTCGTTCCCCGAGCATCTTAGTGTCGCCTGTGATCATACATTTTTCCAAACTTGTGTTCAGACATATTATTTGTGATTTTTTGTGCAAAGTTTAATAACCCTTGCAAAAATGTCCCCAAAGAAAAAGCCACAAAAAGACAGCCATAAGAGAATAAAAATAACCGTTGAAATGAAACGTAAATTCATTGAAAAGCGAGAACGAGGTGTGAGCGTGGCTGATCTAGCACGCACATACAGAGTGTTCATTATTCAGGCTTATCAGACGTCCAGGGAACTTCCGAGAATTTGCTCTCAGCAGATGCTCTAGCACCGACCGGCAAACGGGCGGTGATTCATGCGCTGATTCAGTCTGTGTTTAGCCTTCAAGTGTTTCAGAAGCTAAGTATAGTGCATTATTCTGTGACTTTATTATGGTTCGTGCGAGATACAGTTTAGAAAAAAGAGTTTTCATTTATGATTGTTATGTGAAAACACACTCATACAAATCATGCAGGAGAAAATTTCGGCTTAAATTTCCCGAAACAACATGTCCATCTGGGGATACAATTTCCAAATTAGTGAAGAAAGTTCGAACCCACGGCATTTTAATTGACAGAAAGCCGTTAAAAAGAAATCGTGTTTTAACTGAGGAAAAACTTGATGACATCGGTCATCGATTAGAAAATTCTCCTCGAAAATCTTTGCGGCGATTAGCACAACAAAGTGGTGTTTCTTTAGGCAGTGCATGGACAGCAACTAAACTGTTGCATATTCGTCCGTATAAATTTACTGTTGTTCATGAAATTAAACCTGTGGATTATGAAAAAAGAGTGAGGTTTTGTAATTGGTTTATCAATCATGTGCATGACGGACTTCTGGATCCTAAGCTGACATTTTTCACAGATGAGGCTAATTTTAATCTCTCGGGATATGTTAACTCACAAAACAACAGGTACTGGAGTAGTGAAAATCCTCATGCGCTAATTCAACTTCCCCTTTACGACCAAAAGATAGGCGTATGGTGTGCGGTTAGCGCACACCGTATCATTGGACCTATATTTTATGAAGGAACTCTTGATGCTCAACGATACATTAATGAAATACTCAACCAATTTTTCGTTAATTTGGCACCTGCAGAAGAAAGATTCGGTTATTTTATGCAAGACGGCGCGACTCCACACACAGCTAAGGAAACTATCCGAGCATTACGCGGTGTGTTTGGGGAATTAAATGGTGACGATAGAATTGTTAGCAAGGGTTTGTGGCCCCCTAGATCCCCAGATCTAAACCCCTGTGATTTTTATTTGTGGGGAAAACTAAAAAATGTTGTGTATGCCAACAATCCACATGACTTGGAGGCTCTAAAACAAAATATTCGGGAAGCAATTGACAACATCCAGCAACGTGAATTGCAACAAGTTTCCCAAAATCTGTTTAAAAGAATTCAGGCATGTCTCACAACAGAGGGCAGACATTTTGAACATCTTCTATGATGGTGAGTACAATATTAATTACTATATTTGATTAATAATTAGCGGAAGAAATAAATAATGTGCGCTAACAGTTCCGGCCGCGCGACAGCAATTTCCTCGGCAGGTGGCGCATCGCTTTCGCATGAAGTTGCCGACGGTAAAATCAGTGTCGAATCAGCCTCGGCTATGAACACTCTGTACAATCGGTCTACATCAACAATTTGCACGATATGGAGTTGCATTGTGTTTCACAGCAAGAAGTTGTGGAGGAGAGTTTGTCAGAGGAGGAGGAGAAGGTAACAGCAAAGTAACAATCTTCTGGCGCAATAAGAGAAATGCTGAAAGCATGGGAAACTCTTGCATCGTACATTGAGAAGCATCACCCTAATAAGGCAGTGGCTATGCGCACTACAAATTTATTTAATGATAATGCTGTGTCGCATTTTCACCAAATTTTGAAGCATCGGCAAAAACAAATATCTCTAGACAGCTTTCTAGTAAAAAGAATTAGATACGAGTATGTATCATAAATAATAAACTAATTATTTCGATTTTTGTTTTCTGCAAATTGAATTTGCATATCAGGTTGGTTCATTCCGCATGGAAGAAAAGATGAAGATGATTCACACTCCTTAACAATGTATATATAATTTTCTTTGAATAAATGTTACACATTAAATTTTTTTAGTATTTTTTTTGGCATTGAAGGCATTATCATATTTTACATTAATTCATATGGGAAAAATTGTTTCGCATTACGAGTAAGATTCTGGAACGACTTATGCTCGTTAAGTGAGGTTCCACTGTATACCTTGTCTCCGCATCCATCTCAATGGCATACTTCATATATCTCCCCCACCCCCCACCAGTGTGGGTGTATGTATACCCCCTTTTTATTGTTACACAATGGCTCAGTAGACATGTCCCCACAGCAACGATTACATGTTGGAGGCACCGTTTTCTATAGGGTCTATGTAGTATCAAAGGAGGGTGACTCCCCATATCATCGTTGGGCAATGGTTCGGTAAAGGCATTCCTGTGGCAATGAAGAATTGATGGAGGCATCTTCTCCTATGCATTCCATATCAAAGGTAAGCAGGGAATCAGTTTTTCCCAGAACTTCTTGTTTAATGTGTGTTTGCTGGTACCCGTAACAAAGTACGAACCTACCTGCAGTTCTTTATCTTCATCATCATCCAGTGACAGCTGCAATGGCTCTGAGCTGCAGACAATGAAATAAACAGGAATTAACAACGCTCACCATGGGAATGGTGGAACTGAATACTTCAGCAGAATACTCTGATGAAAGTTTCTGGTTTTGTAACATTCATCATCATACAACAGTCTTGCATTCCATTCACCCTTTGGACCTTGATGCAGCCTAACAAGTGTTGTTCATCGGCACAGACCTATTTTTTATTTTAAATTAACTCAGACAATATTAAGAAAATCTTACATAGATAGCAGCAATAAACAAAGCCTGTGTGATTTCAGAAAATCTGAAGTACAAGTTTACCAGAAAATAATGAAAATACAGAAAACTCTGTACAAGCTGTTTTGAGCTCGCAGAATTGTGCCAACCATCTTAAAACTCGTTTTTGGGCTCTGTACAGTTCTCAGGGAAGAGGTTAAACATCCCCCTCCCCCAGAGACATGTCCTTCATACCAAGCTTCTTCACGGTCTGTACCTGAGTAAAGGCACATCTGTCAATGTGTACTTGAGTTCAGAGCTGAATGGAAGGAGCACTTACCTCTCTGGCAACCAGAAGGCAGGCATTATCACATCATCTGAAACACAGTTCTTAACGGACAGGATGATGGGCACTCGGACCAAACTGGTCAACTTCTCAGGTATGGCCATCTGAACCACATAGCGCTTCACCTGTACCAACAGAAACCTGCAGACATACATTAGCAAAATGTTTAACTTCACAGGGACAAATACTGAACTAAGCTGAAACATGTGACAACAGGGCACCTCACCTTGGCAGCTTAGTGAATGCTGTCACCACTTTGCTATGCTGGCCACTACACCTGCCACACTTGAGTTCCCGAACATCAGATTGCATGTAGCGATTCAGGGCCTCCTGCAGTGATGGACGAGCTTGTGAAGTGGATGGAATGTCCAGAAACAGGGCAAGGTGGTCCTGACATCTGGTGGTGTACTCAGAACAACTGCAAACACATATTGAAAATTAAGTGCATGAAACATGTACACTTGCAGAGTTGCATGGAAAGGAACCAAGTTACAGACAAAAAGATAGTATTATAACAAATATAAGGTGTGATAATGTGAATTCAAGATGGTGTTTTGACAGACTTCAACGTTCCATAGCAAATGCAACTTCTTCAACAAAGAGGAATTCACAGGGATGCACGCAAGCACTCACTTGGTGCAGCAGTAAGTTTCCCTGAGGCAGAACTCCACATTGTCACACACAGGGTTGCAGAGGCCACCACCCACATGCCTGCCTCCACCTGAGAACCGCTGTGCAGGAGATCCACCTGGTGGCAGATTGTCCAACTGCAGCTCTCGCAGTGTGCAGCTCTCCTTTATCTTGTGATCTGCTGGTAACAGAACACCATACAAATCATTCAGGACATTTACTGGAATGCCACAGGTGCAAAGGCAGGCTTGGTTGTTTTCAATGCAGAACACAAGAGAAGAAAACAGTTATGAACATGGAAATGGAAAGAAAGTGGAAGGGTCTATCTCAACTGATCAGACAGGCCATAGAAAAACACAGAAGACCAAAAAGACAACACATATCAGCCCCCAACTCGAAATGTTACTTTCAGCTTGCAGGCATGTGGGCTACGGAAAAGCCAGCTTAATTTACAGTGTTGTCAGTCTCAGATTATGTAGTGCTGAATGTTAGGATGACTTGGGAATTATGAGTGTCCTATTCATGGTGGTACAACCTGGTGTTTGTTTTGAAGGCTTTAGTAAAAGTAGGAAAAGCCTGTCAGAACAGCCAGTGTCATGAACAAGATTCAAACCTAGCATCTCCCAAATACAAGTCTAGAGTGTTATCACTACACCAACTAGCTCAGTCATTAGGGTCCAACATTTTGCTCACGTGAACTCCTCGATCAATTCCACAGCAATCAGTTTCTATGAACCAGGCATATGCTGGGATAGTATCAACCAACTTGCTTCCAAATCCTAAGTTTCATCACAGAATTCAATGTCTGTTAGGAAATACCAACCTTCCAGGCCAAGGTCTGAGTTGGATGAACTAAAGTGCTCTCGAAATAAGTCCAGAAGACGCACTAAAAACTCTGTGGCATCCTGCTGCCTGTCGCTTGTGAATATGGCATCAAGCAAGCCCAGCGAGCGTGACAGGTGCCTGAAACAGCGTAACATGATCCTGAGCAAGTTCAATCCAATCCAAATTTTCGTTTGATTAAGTTTACTAAGTGTGCCCTGTCCACATGTACATTTCTCACTTGTCCTATCTGAGCTACACGTCCCGCCCATCACAATCTTCTTTCCTTACTGTGTAATTTCATCCATTACCCATCCTGCAGGGAGCTCAAATCATGAAGGATGAGCAGCAGCATGCAACAAGGACATGGCAAGTGGATGCAACATTTTAGTCCTAACAACTGATGAGCAACAGACCACTTGGAAGACATAGGCACTGATGGGAGGATAATATTAAACTGAATCTTAAGCAACTAGGGTGTGTGAAACTGTGGATTCAGTCCAGTGGAAGGCTCTTGTAAACATGGTCTCACAGAAAGCAGGGAATTTTTGGCCAAGCGAAGTGACTATGAGCCTCTCAACACAGTTTGCACTTCACAGAGTTCATTTACTTTGTTCAGATTATGTCTCCAACGGTCTGCACTTGTCATGCTAGCAGTCAGATTACTCTACCTGAGAGCAGAATGGAGCGACAACCGACACCCCCGTCGCCGATGCTTCACAACCTGAAAGAATGACCATAGCAGTGCAGATTTGTTATTTCGCCCATCCTTCCGGAAGGAACGTTCAAGCTCCTCCATGAATGGCTCCATTCCCAGCAGCATTTGTAGGGTAGCGTTCATCCAACAACGGTTGCTGCCAGGTGGATTTGGGAACCTGCAAGTCACAGTCCACTGAGTTTGCTCTTGTGGTGTGGCCATGGACGCTCTGAACACTCAGCTGCTGCCTGCAGACAACAGTGCAACAGTGCAACTCACCCCATGTCCTGTGGCCGTATTTCTTGTCGTGCTGTTGTCTGCTCCTCAGCCTCCATCTCAGAAACTGGAGTCTTCATGACAGGAGGCAAGCCGCTGTCCTGCTGACAATCTCCGGGCAACTCATCGTGCACACAACTAGTTTCCTGGTCCTCCACCGACATACCTAAAATTCATAGGCAAGGAAACCCAAACATCACACAATCTATTCTACCAGGTTTCTTATGTTACAGTATTAGGAGAATGCATGAGGCAACATCAGTACGCTGTGCAACACCATAGCAACAGCCACAAAGTTAGCTTAAGTGCCCTAGATATCATCCATCCTCTAAAACAGGGGTGTCCAACTTCAAACTCCAAGCTGGAATGAGTTTAGTTTGCCAGACAGCCACTTCCTGCCACTGGCACTAGGCACCCATGGTTTGCTGTTCTCTGTCAACATATGCCACTCACAGCACAAAGTGAATACAGTGTGGATGTTAAGAGTTCTGTATTGTACTATATGGGTAAACATGAGTTATTTTCATGTTGTGGTACCTCAACATACTTTCCACCCACGGCTGAGAAGATCTGCTGACCCAGATCCAGGCTGGTACCAAGGGGGCCAACCAGTGCTGAGGTGGTGTTGCACCTGAGCTACCCAGCCACAGGTTGCATTACAAAACAAATATTTTCTCATGATGTCAAAATAAATATCTGTCCAGCTAATGGTGCCTTAAAACCAGGCGCTGGTAGTAGGCTTCACTGTATCAATGTTGCCTATATGATCGAACTTCACGCTTTCCTAAGTTCTTATTAGGTGTCAAGTTAACCAGAAAATTACACAGAACATTTAGCAAACACTTTTTGTAAAAACTGTTTGCCATCGTTTAAAAAAAAATTGTGAACACATCGTGTGGAATGGAACAATACTCTTAGCGCCACACGCAGTCCACATCCTGCAAGCTGGACAAACCTGATCTACATTTATATTAAAAAACACATTCAAGAGTCTGCTCCCACATTTAGAAGGGAGGGAGGACGAACATATACTGCTGAATGTTCTAGTCCATCTAACATCTTGAATCATCTTGTTACAAATGAATGCACAATTGTTTACTTCAGAGGTCAGACCCCACCCACCCACCCACCCACAAGTGCACAGTAAAAAGATGGCAACCCGAAGCTTACCAGCAGCATCAGCCTCCATGTCTCTGTCCAACATCTGCAAGATCTTGTGAATGTCCACCTCTCCTGCATGCTCCCAGTTCTCCTTGTTCGCAACATCAGCCAGTGAGGGGACTGAAGACTTGACAGGACTGTAAAATGAGATACGCTTATCAGGGGTGACCATTTATCATCCCTGTACATTACAAATATTAAAAATTAAAAAAAAAAAAAAGGCATGCTACATGCCCTTCCTCAATTTAGTCACCATAATAAAATCTGGGGCATGTACTGTCTTCGCTCACTTGGAAACCGGGATCGTGGGTTCAAATCCCAGTCAAGGCATGGGTGTTTAGTTTGTGTGTGCGTTTTTCTGTGTCTGTGTACAGGTAGAGGCCTTGCAACAAGCTGATCACCCGCCCAAGGAGTCCTACTGAATGTGTAAGATCTAGAAAAACAGAAGTGAACGGAGAAGTTCATGGAGGTAGGCCTAGGCTCACTGGGGCTGTAGTGCCAAGGAAAAAATAAATAAAATCTGGTGAGTACAAATTATGATGCTTCTGCTTGATTTGAGGTTCTGATTACATGATTGAATGAATGAATGTATAAGGGGTGGGCCTTGATAATAGGATTACAGAGATCGCCATCTTCCGAGATGTGGTACTGTGTAGTCTGTCTTTACTTTCAGTGTCTGTCCAGGCTCTTACATCAGCCCACACCAGACCCAACAGCCTGTTGCTTTCTTGGCTTATTCTCTGGTCAGTTTGCACTAGACTACACAATATCACATCCCAGCAAACAGTTCATCATTATGCAACTATTAACACAGCAGCAGGCCCAACTGGCAAGTTGCTGCTCTCTCTCTCTCACTGCTGGCTAGCAAAATGTTCATGGCTGCATTTAAGCAGTCACTTACACAAGATTCGGCTGCACGTATGTGAGGGTCCGCTTTGCTCGACAGTCCTGAGGCAGACAGGATGAGACACGACGTTGCTTCCTAGGTGGGGAGCTCACACTGAAACAACACCAAAGCACATTCTGATCTCACAGTAAGTAGAAACTCGGTGGCACTGCTATGAAAACTAAACATTCATCACCATAGGCACAAAAGCCTAATACTAAACACTTATCATGGCTCAGGACCATTCAGCCCACTTCTCTCACATGTCTTCAAATATTACCTTCCCATGCATGATCCATCTCACAGGCAGTCTTTCCCAATGCTGTTTGCTGCTTAGGCTGACTGCCCTTAATAAATTTAATGTTATCAAAACCTGAAGAATATCATTACTGATTCAAAGCTTGGCACTCAATACATTTCTGTGCCAATTTTATCACCTCACATGCTCATAGCCTACATTAACGTTATCCTTGTTGATCTTTGAAGTGAGTTCTGTTCAAGAGTTTTCCTCATCAACATTGCACGCATTAACCAGGCCATCATATTTCACCATTATAGCACTAAATGACCTGTACAAATCATTACAGTTCCCTGTCACTTCATCCTTCATAAATCCAAATACTTTCCTGAACGACACTTGCTGCCACATCTAATCAAATCTCCTGTATATAAATTCAGGCCAAAGTTATGCTTGTATTGAAGGGTACATACAAAGCAAAATACTTTCAAAACAACAGGAATGCTGACAACAAACTGAACAAGTATGTCACAAAGGACAGGGGTAAATCTAATTTACAACACACTGAAAGCTCTGTTTGGTGCGTCACCTGGTTCTCAAGGGTTGCAACTTCTTCCCTGCAGCTGAAGGAACACTAAGCGACTTTGAGTGGGGGGTGGACAGGGGAGTAATGCCATGGGAACGAACATCCTGTTTTGATGACTCTGGTGGTTTCCTGTTCACGCTCAACTTGCCAACTGCTGGAGTCAGCCTCCTGCCACTTGCCTCCACACTCCTTGGCCTGAAAGAAACACACTCCCCCAGCTTGAATGCTGATTACAATGCAACCTCTCTCTATAATAAAATTATCATGGTGCAGAGAAGCTGGTTCCATGGAATACAATTCCTGCAAGAGTCAGTTGTCATTTTCATGTAAAACGCCCATGTAGAGGAGCTTCTTGAAACATGTCATTTCTACTCTTTCAAAATTGGGTCTTGTGATCAGAATGTATGCAAAAGTACAGTCCCTAATGACCAACACATATTAATATAAATTTTCTGGCTTTCACAGCAGTGTGCACTCAGACTGTGGTCTTCTGAGATGTGTAGTATCATAAATGGGAATGCAATCAGATTCAAGAAAACAGAAAGGAAAATGGAACCCCATCTGGGCCAATGGAAGTGACAGGAGCACGCAAGTCCATATCCCTTCTGTGACATACCTATTTTCTTTCCTAAGAAAGGCAGCATTCTCTCACACTCCCTGTTCACCATTATTGCAGGCCCAGACTGAGCACTACCTCCCTTCCCCCTCTGGTGCACCCCAAGTGACCACTTCAGCCCTGAAGATGGAGGCAGGCCATCCCTCTGAACTGGTATTCTCCTACAATACTACTACTATACAGTGTCAAAATCTAAAAGCCCAGAATCTAATATATTTATTACTGAGTGAAAGAAACTGTTTTCTACAGTTCACTGTTGTGTTCTCCCATTCAAGAGGTTGGCATATGACCTTACTGTACCTGATATGCAGGAGGGCTGACTTTTGCCCCTTGGCACTCTGTTCTGCAGGCCTCTTGCCATTGTATGGAATTTTGCCTGCTGCTGGGAACTCAGTGCCGTTCTCTGGGGCTGTGGGACTGCTGCGAACCGCTCGACTGCAACTGCAGACAACACAATGCAGCTTTTCAGTTTTGATTTAGTCCCGACGAAGGTAACAGTCAACTGACACATCCGTCAGAAACTCACCCTCTGGTGGTGTGGGACCAAGCAAACTGGCTCAAGTGGCAACACTTCTGACTCATACTTGGGGGCTGCCAAGTCTGAATCTCAGACAGGAGACTGAATAACATGATTCAGGTTGTTCTACTCAGTCACTCCAGGTAAACACCTGGATAAACCTTAAATTAGGCCACAATTGCTACCTTCCACATCTTTTTCAATTCATTTTTCACTATCAACCAATCATTTAACACTACAGAGTACCAGTCTGTGTGGTTCAGGAGGTACACACAGATGGCTTCTCTGTAACTTGTCTACTGGAGGGGGGCATTAATGTTCTAACGCACGAATGTGTTTCACTGTTCACAGTGTTTCTGAAGCTAATGCCTATAATGTTGAAAACAACTGATGTAATTTATGGGACTGAGCATCGTCCCTGCTTAGGATCATAACTAGGTGAAATGTTAAAAACCTTGAGTGCAAGATATTGCTCTTGGTGTCTTCATGCTTTGCTGTCCTGGGTGCTGCATGGACCTCTATTTTCACTCACTGCAGATACCAGTTAATAGTCACCAAGATTATCCACTACAATGTCATAAATTATTTTCCTTGTAGTTTCTCAAACTTTCTTCTGTAGCTACAGTACTCACTTTAAGAAACAAAAATCTGATAGTGGTCATATTTTAATAGCCAAAGATCACTGCAGGCTCCTGCCCCACAAACCATCAGGGTTCAATACTGTCAGCAAACCACAACCTCGCTGTGAGACCCACACATAACAAGCACCTGTAGTGACATTTGTATGTAATTTGGGATATATTAACAGTTGCAATTCAGACTTATACTGCACCTGTCACTATACTTTTTTTTTATTTTACCATGCTGTCAGTATATATCATCAAATAGTAAAATCACTAGTGAATAAATTATAGAAGACAGAGAAGGATGCTGTCATCGCCTATGCGAAGTATCATCCTGGATTATCCTGGAGGAACTGAGGAAAACAACGAAAAACCTGAGTTAAGATGTTTGGTGTCCTGAACAAGATTCAAGTCAAAACACTTTCCCAAACACAAGTCTACATTGTTAATGCTGCACCAGCCTCCTCAGTCCCATCACTGCACACCACCTCGTAAACTGGTACTAGCATCTGTAACATGTAGTTAGTCCATTTACAATAAACTCAATAGTGTGATCACTGAGAGAGTATGGCATAAAAATCCTAAATTTCACTGAAGCAATCAGGATATTTTCACCAGACACCAACAAGCACTAGAAACTATACAACTAACCCATAACCCCTATTTTCATCACGTTACCTTGTTAAGGGCATGTCTACAAGCCAAGGTAAAGCAAATTCCATATTCTCAGTTGAAATCTGACTACTCACAACATATAAGAAATTGGATGATGGCTTTTCACACTGGCAGTCGGATTGCTTCCATAAAACACCCTGCTGGTTAGTCCAACGGATGTCTTCATTTTGTCTGCGCCAAGAATATGTGATGCCTTCTGATGAGATTTTGCCAGAAGATTATCCGATGATGAATAACTAAACTGTGTCATCTATAAACCTACAAAATTAAGATAACATGTTATTCAGAATCATCTTCTTCAAAATATTACTTAATTTAAGCTCGTTCTTAATAACATTTTCCACGCAAAACCAATGTAAGAAACGCAATATACCTAACCTTGCATTAACCACTATCTGCTTTTAAAAACTTCTTCAAGCAATTCCACAGAAGTATGCTGACAAAGTTGCTAAAAAGGAAATGCTACTATGAAAATGCGATCGTACAAATACACACCAATACATCAAACACTAACTTAAATACGAAGATTAACAAAGACCATTCTACCATGTGACATCACGATCCGTGGGTGCGACCGCTATTCCCGCCAATTTCATCATCGACCTCCAATTACAGTTTCTTTGGTGCACAAAAAATCCCGTTTCATTCCATGTGCACGGATTAATGCGAGTCCCTACGATGGTTAACAATCGTTGCAATAAAGTGATCTGGCATACACTGAACAACTGTGTAAACGAATTTTTCTTTTAATCCGAAAAATAATTGTAATATAAGAGGCCTACGCAATTCCCATCCGGCAATTCAAACGAAATATGTATTGGCACGTCTGAACGTACTGCAATCTGTCCGTAAATTAGTTACGTCAGCAGATTTGTGGATAATCAATGTCGCGTTTCCTTGCACGCAATAGCCTTCATTCTTTGCCCAAACAAAAAACAAACTCCATGGTTTTAGCCCGCAAGCGAACTACACCGATCGAGTGACCGCCGCTTGCCGGCGAGTTAATGCAAACTTTAGCGGATAGAGGGGTGTCGCGTGGTCAGCGCAACGCAGCCCCACGGCCGTTAATTTCGGTTTTCTAGACCGGAGCCGCTACTTCCTTGAAATAGCTCCATTATTCTCATGAGTCTGAGTGGATTCCGTTCCAAACCCACTACTTCTCAAATAACCTGGTGGCGGCGGGAATCGAATCCAGGACCACTTGATCTGTAGCCAGGAACTGGCCACTAAACCACTAATTCCTTCCCCAGCAGTTGACAAATAAAACTTCAACATTGAGCGTGTACCTTAATTGCTTAAATGTCTAAAGTTAAAATAATTTATTTATCGCAGGCCACACTGGTAAGAACTTGGGTAGGAGAATATTAAAATGACACATATGGTACAGTAGGGTGTGAACAGAATTCATCTTGTTCTGAATAAGGGCTAGTTTCTTGTGGACACAGTAATAAACATTATACACAATATGCTGAGAATTTCTAAAATAACTAAGCAACTATTAGCTTCACAAGAAAGTTTCAGATCCATGGACTTCTCTTATAACACTGACCCTTCTAGCTCCACACATATATCTAACATTTAACTAACAATCTTGAAGATTAGAAAAATCCTCTAACATCCCATAGCCATCTTGAAAAAAGTTGTAGGGTCCAAATACTGCTCACCTGGCCATTGGATAAGGCATTCCTAATATCCAATAAATGTTACATAAGTGCACTTAAAACTAATTTCATAGAGCTGAGCCTTCCTTGAGAAGCCACCAGTTGTGCAGCTACTCAAGAGTTTCCTAACATTATTTTATTGAACAGTTCACTACCATGTTCAGAAGAGATCACTGGTCCCTATCCTGAGGAAGATTAACCCCAATCTTAGGTCCATTTTAATATTAATCACCCACCTACATCTGGTATTTCTAGTAGTCTCCTTCCTTCTAGCTTTCCCAGCAATATACTAAATGCATTGCTCTTCACCCCCCTATTCATGATACATGTCCTGCCCAACTCATCCTCCTTGACTTGGTAATTCTAATTATATTTTGTGAAGAGTTCTAGTTCTGAAGCTCTTCATTATGCTGTTTTCTCCAACCTCCTGTCATTTCATCTCTTCGGTCGAAATATTCTACTCAGCACCTCAGAGATAAGTTTCACACCCACGCAAAAAAAAAAGGGCAAAATGTTGTTTTTTATATTCTAACTTTTACGTTGACAGCAGACAAAGTTTCTGGACTGAATGATAGCAAGACACGAAATCAGTCTTCTCTTAATTTCCTCCTGAATCAAATTTTGTTCCGTTACTGTCATTCCAAAATATTTGAACTGTGCCATGTTTTCAACAGATCATGATTTTACCCTGCATTCTGGTGACAAGACAGCAACATACAGCTTTCTCTGCATTTACTTCTAGATCAGAATCCTTACTAGTGTCAATTACAGTTTTTATCTCTCTTTACAGTATCCATGTTATCTCCCAGTATATTCATATCATCAGCACAAACTAGCAGCCAATGTCCTATTTAATTTCAGTCCCATTTGGTTTTCCTAATCACATAGTGTAGAGCAAAGTTGAAAAGCAATGGATTGTTTATATAGACTTTACTATACCTTTCATTTAAAAACATTTTAATCACATCCATGATGTGTATGTATTGACCGTCTTCCAGTGCACACAATCTCACTTGTCACTTCACGACATGTTTCGGCATCACTGTGCCATCCTCAACGCACGCAGCCACAAAAGGAGGACACATCACAAGACACAGTATACACAAAATATAGGAAGAACGACTCCCATAGTGGAAGATTGATATAATACGCGAGTCTGAAATACGACGTATAAGATGACAAATTTTAACAAATTTTAATATATAAATTTTATTATAGTACATGACGAATATACATTTTAAATCATTTTATAAACGACACATGATGGTGAGCAGTGCAATAGTTTAATGTAAACAAGACACCGGAGGATGGTACATTGATGCCGAAACATGTGAAGTGACAAGTGACTGTGTGCATTATAAGACGGTCAATACATATACATCATAGATGTGAATCAGTGCAACAGGACGCTAAAATACAACATTTTAATCAGCCTAACTAGTTTCATGGGTACCCCAAACTCTATCAGAATACTGTACAATACTTACCTCCTAACTGAATCATAGGCTTTCTTGAAATCTATGAACAGCTGATGTACTGTCTCATTGTAATCTCACTTTTCCTCCAGTATCTGATGAGTGCAAAAGATGTGATCGGTAGTTGATCTGTTACACTGAAACTCACACTGATTCCATGTCAGGTTATGGGGGATTTGTGGTGGACAAAGAAGCACTGGGGCAGGTTTTCTCAAGAGTAATTCGGTTTCCCTTGACAATTCTCATTCCAGTGACTGATCACTATTCCTATGACCCAGGGCTTCTACAATTCACAAAACAGTGGCCTACATACTGAGTGGACTCAGTCTCACCCTACTGCAAGAAATAAATAAATAATAATAATAAGGGGGTCATTTCACTGCTGTATACATGTGGAGTATTCCTACCGATGCATCATTCATTTACATATGACAACCTAAGGGTTAAATCAGACCCAGTCCATCGGCTCTGTCATTATCGCAGCAATGCATGAGATGATCTGCATGCTTTATGCCAAGGAAAATAGACCACTTATGTACCATACTTTAATGTTGTACATCTGTGTTCAAAAAAAGCCAAATTCAGAGCTTGAAAAACACAGCAGAGGGAAACATCACCAACAGGTGACAAGCATGGGATAATAAATACTGTATAACATTTTCACTTGCTTGCTCAGATTTGCAGCTTTTACATCAGTAACAAGTTTCTGATATCATAAACTGTTAGCTACTCTATAACTACTAAGCTACACAGTGTGTAGCAGTCTGCCATGCTGGAACATGCATCACTAGCAGATTCTGTTAATAATTTTATAAAAATATCACAAATACTGATCTTGTATGCTGAACTGATGTACTTGTTACATTTTGCTAGTGTTTTTAATCAAATTGTTGGTTTCCTTCTTGCTTGAAATGGAGAAGAGAAGCAGATTTTGTGAAGATAAATTAAGTGCTTGGTCTCTTTGTGCTAAATATGCATATGGCCAAACAAATGTTCTGCAGTCGGCAATTATTCCAACACTATTCAACAAAAGAACTGACTGATGGCAAGGTGGGTTCCACTTGGGCTGCTATGATCCCATGTGACTTCCTATAGCAAGTTTATTCTTCGCAAACACACAACATATACACCAGTCCCTTAGAACAGTATAAAACTTAAAACCATGAAAACGGGCAACAGATTTCAGTAAACCTGAATTGTCACAATACCCAGAGAACACTGAAAATGACAACAAAAAATACAATAGGTTATGAGAGAATGATGTAAGATGACCAAACATTGTGGAACATTAATGCACAAATTGGTGATATAAACACACAATATTAGATTTACAAAGGTCCCTGTTTATCTCATGCTTTCAAGTTTTATTCAGTTTTCTATGCAATGTCTGCAGTACCACATATCCATGTAACAGCGTTCAAACTGACTCCAACAAATCAGTGCCCCAAAGACTGCAGCTGGGTGCTCCACTTTTATGTCTGACAGTTTTGCTTAGTACATTACATACTTTTTCAACTTAGAGGAAGTTCTCGTGTAAAACCTCCATCAAAGCATGGCTCGACTCCAGCCACAATGAAACCTGATATGTCCAGAATACAAGCAACCCCACTCTGCACTGTGACTTTCTGCATGAACAATGAATAACCTGAAATACAATGCATCAGGGTCTTCCAGAATTATGTTGAACAACTTCACTCCATATCTCGCTGTATCCTGAGATTCCAGACTATATTTTTGTTCACTGACAGGCGAATGAAACTAATACATGTTTACCTACAACAAATACTCGGACTCATTTGCAAACTGTCAGCATTAAACACAATTTCTTTATCAAAACACTCATAACACACACAGTTAAGTAATAAGATTGCTTCAAGGCAGAAAACTTGTGCTCAGTCCCAGGTTTCATCTTGTGCCTGATTCATGTAAGAATCCAGTTCCCTGTCGAGGTGTGACTTTGTACTCGCCATGTATTGGTCCAGCTGCAAGTCCAGCTCTTCTTTTGAGGGAACGGCTTGCATCTGCCGACCACGTGAACCACGCCCGCGTCCTGCACGCATTCGCCCATTACGCCTGAGAAAATATCACGACATCAAAAGCAATACATCACAGCAGTCAGCTGAATACACTCAACGTGCAAAGCACAAGAGAAGCAGAAACTCCTTCTGCAGCACAACACATTGCTCATTGTGGCAGAGCAGTGGCTCATCCTCTGCACTATCCAACTGAGTCCAACTGCTAATCTGACCTCGTGGAGACCAGAAGATACCAACAAGTTGTCCTGGCAGTACAATGGGCAATGCATATAACTGAAGAAATGCTTATGGAATACCTCACCAGACAGAACAAAACTACTGTACTTGCCCAAATACAAGGTACACTATTCTTGACACATATACCTCCTAAAAGTTGACTGTTCATAAATTCAGGCATATTTAGTCACATTAGACAATTTTACTATAAGAAAGAAATGGTTAATAACTGGGCAATGATGAAATCAGTGGTACTGAACACTGCTGTGGTACTGCTTCACTTCTCCTAAGTCACTCAATGAACACAATGTATTTAATGTAGACTAAAAACAGCACACACATCTCACCTAAATGAACCTCCTCTGCCTCGTGTGAACCGGTTCCCAACACCTCCACCTCGACCTCCACGCAAGCCACGGCCTCCTCGTGGTGATCCCAGACCAGGCCCTGAAACAAGTGCAGGAAGAAGCAAACACATAAGAGCCAGGTTCTCAAGTGGGTAACAGTACAAGATGTGATCGACTAGTATGCTAACAATGGAAAGTCCAAGCATAGGTTAAACCTATGCTTATGCTTCTGGAGCCATGACACACTTTAAGGGTTCTTTTATACTTGCTTGCCACATGCCACATGCCAGGCGTGTGTATTAACATTGTTTAAATGGGGCCATTTTATACTTACCTGCTCGCGTCGAGCGGTCACTTTCTACCGCCTGGCATGCGACTGAGGCGTGTCGCGACAGGCGTGCGGCCATCACCGCCTAGCGTGTCCCGCCACGCGGGTGGGACCAGTACAATACGGGAGTTTTTATAGTTGACGCTTCACGCCAAGCGGTTCGGTTCAGTTCAGTTCAGTTTAGCTTGTAGTCTTGCAAAGTGCTAGCTTNATAATCTGACCTTGGAGGTTTTAATTGTACTTTCTATGTCTATATGAAACAGAAAATAAGCTTACCTCAGAGTTACACAAAGTCTCTCCATTGGACTAATGGGCATGGAGTGGGTCCTTGTAATACGAAAATGACTTTCAACTTTCCCAAATAATTCGTCGAATGTTTTGGGGCTCATCCTAAAATAATTGAAGAACTTTATTTCATCTTCTCGTAAGTCAGCGTACAGGGTTATGAAAGCTCCTTTCAAGTCTCTTTGGATGTTGAGAGGATGAACACTGAAACGCCTTTTCTTCTTTTCTTTTCTTGCCATCTTCTCATAAAGGTATGCAGCAGCGACCGCTTTAGTTGCGAACCCTGCCATGGCACACGCTCGACTGACAAAACTATAAAATGGAAATTTTATACTTACACGCCACACGCCTGACTTCAAGCATGTGGCATGTGGCGTGTGGCATGCAAGTATAAAAGAAGCCTAAATGTTAGCTAGGCTCATAATCAATATATGAGTCATAATTCAAATTCTCTGTCCATTCATGGGCCAGTTTAAAGTCTTACACGCTGCACCTGGCCACGACCTTGGACATCATAGGCACAGTACAAATGATATCTACATGTACTTCCAAAGCAGGCACACAACTGGGATGTATTAATTAAATTTTTCATTTCTCCTATTTGCACATCTAAGAAAAACTGCAAAAGGAGTCACTGCAAGAGAGGTATTGCCAGACACTAATTAATTACCCAACAGCAAAAGAGTTACGTACTGCAATATGGAAGAGGTCATAGCAAGTGTAAAGATAACAGTTTTTGCTTCGACAGACTACAGAAGAGTCAGAACACCTCAGTCAAGCAAGACCAATCAAGCAGAAGCCAAACTATTACAAACAATCGTTCTGTTCACCAGCATGGAACATTACCCTGGTCAAGTACCAAAATACTTACATCCTCCTCTCCTGAATGGCCGACGCTGAGAGTTACCGCGGAAAACTCGCCCTTGTCCTCGTCGGAACCTGAATGTATCTCCTCCACTGTTGCTTCGATTCAGTGACTGCATACTCTGACTTCGGGCTGTCAGATGAAAAATGAGGTTCTTCAGAAACAAGTGCAACCTTCCTATCTTATAACAGACTGCTACCCATCGAGGAAAAACAAAGGATTCTCTTTACATTTGGTAACAATGTTATTCTGCATATACTCCTGTCAATCCGCCAATTCCCGATAACAACAACTTCTCAAGTGGAAGCAACACTGGTGCAACTTATCAAGTCCTGAAATGTTATGAAGTAGCACTGTTATGGTAACTTTATCTGGAACATAAAGCTACGACTACATTTACCTTTTAATCAGGTAATAATAACTGGTTTTCTATATGGGTGTGAAACTTGGTCCCTGATATTGAGGGAGGAACATAGACTGAGGGTGTTTGAGAACAGGGTGTTGAGGAGAATAATTGGACCAAAGAGAGACGAAGTGACAGGAGGTTTGAGAAAACTGCATAATGAGGAGCTTCATAACTTGTACTCTTCTCCAAGTATAATTAGAATGATCAAGTCAAGGAGGATGAGGTGGGCAGGTCATGTACCATGAATGGGGGAAACGAGGAATGCGTATAGGATATTGGTGGGAAAGCCAGAAGGAAAGAGACCACAGGGAAGACCAAGGCGTAGGTGTGTGTGTACAATATTAGAATGGATCTTAGAGATAGGATGGGATGTTATGGATTGGATAGATCTGGCTCAGGATAGGGACCAGTGGAGGGCTCTTGTGAACACAGTAATGAACCTTCGGGTTCCATAAAATGCTTGGAAATTCTTGAGTAGCTGCAGAATTGGCGGCTCCTCCAGATGGTCTCAGCTCCATGAGTGTGTAAGTAAGTAACAATAACTGGTTAACTACTGGAGCTAACTTGATATTTAGCCCCCCACTAAGCGAATTGTTTTTAACTTGATATTTTGTATGTGGATAGAATACAAACACATTCAAAAATTCTGTATGAAACATATTTTTAACATCTAACAATATATCAAAGGTGTGAGATTTTGGAACAACTTTTAAAATGAACCGTGGCCCTTCATTCATGCAATTATCCCAGCACTAAATGTTACATAACCCGCACAATTCAAAACATCAGTCACATGGAAGCAAATGCCCATTTATTATAATTCTCCAGATTATGTACAAAAAATAGTCCTGTAAGTCTCCAAAGGTTTCAACATGACAAAGTTCTCCAGTATCTCATGTAAACAGAACAATCACTGCGCAGTTGCTGGTAGTAACATAACACTCACCAAGCCTGCCACCTCGTCCTCTGCCCCCACTGCGACCTCTGCCTCGAGTGCGGGCATTACCACGTCCGCCTCTTGCAGATCCTGTGAGTGTGAGTCTGTCCTTCACATTACTCGCCATTGGTTGCCCCAGTCGCTGCCGCAAACTCCTCTGAAACAGCAGACATCCCAGTCACTTCACTTTCCACTTGGTCCCTCCAATCAAACATTCATTCACAGGCCACACCTAACACTCCCAATGATGGGATTTTCCAGCCTACTGCAAAAATGCCTCATGTTAAGAGAATTTCAACCCAACTGTTGCAAGAATCTGTATACTACTTACTACAGACAAAACACAAAAACAGCCACCTTGTGCATTATTTTGGAAGCAACACAGGTACAGATCTCACAGGTGTCCATTTGCAATATCTGTCTTCTTTTGAAAAATGTCTTTCCATTACTAACAAAAAGAAGATATCAGAATATAACACAGTACTGTGTCATGTGTGAGAACCAAGCAAATAGTTTTTTAAACCAGCCTGACTGCCATTTGCACTGCAACACGATGCACACAAGCAGATACCTACACTGTGACAAAGGGTTAAAACGTCATCAATCTAGTATTCAAATTCCAGTGTGCAAGTCAAGAAACCAACATATGACACTCACCTTCTTAAGCTTGAGAGCAGCCATCACAGCTGGGCGACGCTCCATCTGCTGTGCCAGCCGACGGTTCTTCACAGATGCCTGATGCTGGACAGCACTGTTTTCCCTCAAGTTCCGAATTGTGTTTTCATGGTTGCTTCGGAGCCATGTAAAGCTGTGAAATACTCCGACTGTTACTTGCAACTCTCACGAACCAGTCTTCTGCAACTTGGATGCGTCTACAGACAACCCAACTGTCTGTCCTCACCGTCTCTCCACTAGGCTCTAGGTACCTGCCCACTCATTCTCTTTACAATTTCTGATCATGGCAGTGTTACTTACAACTACATGAAACTGCCATGCCATTCATCATTCAGTGATGCCAACATTGGAATGCCTCCAGGTTACATCAATTTATGTTTAAATTAGGAAGCAGTGCTTCCCTTTTGAGTGATGCAAAATATTCTTTGCTGCCTTTTGCTTTAGTTACAACAGCTTTGGAGCTCATTCTGACCACCGTCCGAGTGGCAAGTGCTTATGTAGCTACCGCAATGTTCCTCATTTTTCTTTAAACATTGTCAGAGATACCAACTGCTATTTCTGGTGAATACCTCCCACCATTCACATGATATCTTGTCACTCTTGCCTGCAGTCATGTCTCCCAATCTGTGAGCTCTATTGTTTGTAACCTGTGCGCTACATATATGTACTGCCATGTTGATATTCTGAAATGATACCAGAGCCTGAAATGTCAGTGGGCTGCTTTCTGCCTGTGTTACGCCATCGCAAGTTGCATTTACTTTCCGGGAGACTCTATCATGAGAATTCCCAACAGAAGACTGGTTGCAATGTGTTTAATGCATGCAGCAAGTGTGTCATCTCATTTGCATTGTTCCACAAAATATGGCCATGATTAGTGAGGAGTGCTGCATGTTAAGGGGCAGGCAAGTGAACACTGTGTAAAGCTACAACACATTGGCTCTCCCGCCATAACAACACGTGTTCTTCATGGGGAGGCAGCCCCTTTGTCAAACAGACCAAACAATTAGTAGGATTCAGCTCTGTCAGTACTTTATCAACTGCTCAAGTCAGACAGCACTGACTGCTGGGGCACTGTGAATGATGAAATGGTAGCCATGGCCTACTTTAAAATTCTACTCCAGGCTGCAGAAAATCATAAAAAGTTTTCAGTCAAGATAACAGGTCTCTGGGCTGGCATTCAAATCCGAAACCTCCCAAATATAGAGCATAAATGCTAAAAGCAGGCAGATATTTCAGGAGTCAGCAGGATGGCCCAGTACACAGAATACCTCAATCTTGTGAAGCCTACAAGATCACCAACAGCTGCTGATTAAAATAACTGCATCCCTGAATTCTTGAAAGTAAAACAAGTTCTACAGCTGGAGATAACAAAAATATAAAAATACTACACCACAAAGATGCAAAGTACGTTAACACACACTGCAAAGGTCATTCAATGACCTCCCCTTTAATCTGGTTTAGTTTAACTACCGTGTAGTTTGTTAAACACAAACAGGGTGTTTCATGACTTTAGGGCATAACTGCAGGAGGTGATTTCCTAGGTCTTTGTGATCAAAAAAGTTCATACAAACATGTGTCCGATTTTAGACGGTTACAGAGGTATGACCGTTTTTTCATTCCCGTACACGCCCTCGTGTGAACCGCTCCATCAACTGGCGGGTCGCTATTTTTAGCCAGCTACAGACAGAGCGTTCTCATTATCTCGACATTTGAGAGCTACCTAAGGGTTGGTACGTCCAGTGCGGTTCACAACCGAGTGGCAGCCTGTGTTGCAGCCGGCGGTGACATTTTTGAAAATCAGCTTTAAGCACAAATCAATTCAGATTAAAGGTAATTTCATACTTTAAATGTATCATGTATTATGCTGGTTTATTATTTTGTTCCGTTTATTGTCAGTAATCGTTACCTTCTATTCTGAGTTTAAAACGTCATAGCTCCGTAACCATCCAAAATCGGACACACGTTTATATGAACTTTTTTGATCACAAAGACCTAGGAAATCACCTCCTGCAGTCATGCCCTAAAGTCGTGAAACACCCTGTATATTTAAAAACCTGACAAATAAATTTATAGACCTTAACCATACGTAACTTGTGTCATTTAAAGACAAGCCCTTTGAACCATGCAACGGTTCTTCTTCATTAAGTTCCTTGGAGTCCCCGCCCCCACAAAGCGCCAGGATGCGAGCCGCTCCCTTTCTTTCCGACTAACGTCCTTGGCTGACATCAGGTCAGCTGACCTTGTCTCCCTCCCCCCCTCCTGGACAGAGGTTTCTTGCTTAGCTAGAGTGGAAGCGACCTCCGTAGTGTAGAGGTAACGTTCCCACCTCATGACTCGTGGTACGCGGGTTCAAATACCCGGCGGAGGTCATCGAATTTTTAAGGGCGGAAAAATTCAGGGAACAAGTCCTCCGGGAGGAACTTTAAGCTGTGTGTCCCGTGTCATAACTTTACGGCACGTAAAAGAACCTCATATCCCCAAAGGGGATCACTGAGCCAAATTCCAGGACGTTTTCCGCCCAACAATAGTCTCTAAGGCCTCTGATAGATGGGGGAAGCATTACAGACACCGCTAAGCAAGTGGCCGAACTCGCTTGCTCGGCGGGACTGATGGTATGCACCACTTATAGGTAGGGTAAAGAGACTGGTAGAATATCATAGAGGGAAGCACAATAGATCAAACTGGTCGCGGTGCATGGGGAAACCCACCCTCTCTAAATAACATAACTAACTAGCTCGAGTGGAGCTAAGCTTTCTCACTTCCCGTTGACCTTCGCAAGGAAACATCGCTGCGTCTAAATTTGGTTTCGGATAGTTGAATTGACTGTGCTGGAAATCTGGTTTCGGCCCGCAGCACTGATCGAAGGGGGAAGAGTGCCCTCACGACATGGTCAAGGGTGGATCCGTCGTGAGGTGAATCTTTGAGTTGTATATTCAAGAAGTATATTCAAGTAAGTGACTTACTAAGGTAATAAACGCCGTGAGGCGCATTTTGGTTTGAGTATTGACGCCGTGTGGCGTAGGGTAATTTTGGTTTTTGTCTAAGGTTGTGATACAGCAGATCGCCCTTCAGGCTTGTTCAGCCGTGTATGTAAGCTGTTTATATTTCCTTGTGCTCTCAAGGCTTGCCCAAGTACATTCTTGTACTGGAGAAGTAGAAATACGCCATGAGGCGTGGCTGACTTGACTTTCTGTGCTGTTAGGCACAGCGTAGTTTTGTATCAATCATTTATCACATGTTCTAACCAGTCACCGCCCTTCAGGCGGAGTCTATTTGTATACATATGTTAACAATATATATTTATTTATATGTTTGAGAACGCCAGTTGTGTATATGCATACTTGTGCCATATGTTCCATACCAGCTTCTGCCTAGCAGATCTGTCCAGCCTGGCCCATCGTACCGACTGTGGTTTTCCTCCCCCGAAATCCCTTACACAATCCTAGGGAGGCATAGTGCATCACGCTACAAGCAACTCGTTTCTTGTGAGCCTGTCCCTTACCCATACAGAGTAGGGATACACGGGTCAAAGTGGGTAGAAGAACGGGGTTCTTTACCCACGGGGTCAAGGGACACGGCTCACCTTGTTGACAGATTTTTTAAAGACTCAGTTTATGAGCTGAAGAAATATGAACCTAAACGAAAGGTCACCCAATAATCGTAAACATCCCATCGCAACAGCAAATTTCACTGCAATCTGTTAAGTAGCTGTGGGTATGAAACCCTCTGACAGTGCAGTCTGGACATGAAGACAGCGATAGATGCACAGTGGAAATTTTGGCAGACAGTGTCTCCAAGGAAATGCAACATAATTTCTGTCTACAAAACCTTAATGTCCCCTACAAGTGTAACAAAATGAAAGCTACAATATGGGCAAATTTCTTGACTGAAAATTATTTTCTTTCTGCAGACAAGCAGCACAGCTGTTCCCCAAAACTGAAATTCATGTGGCAACACATTCATTGTTCAAATATACTGATTCCACATTTGAACCATCTTTTAAATGCCAAGGTTAAATGGCAAAAGTGCTGAGATCCACCTAAAAAAAAAAGTCAAGGATTCAGGCAAACTGCAATGCAGGAACAGTGCAGAATAATGCTAGCTTCAAGCTCTGACAGGAGAAGCCTGCACTCTTGCGGAGCAAGTAATGATCAGAGGGATCCTCTGTTGTGTTCTGTTTGTTACATGGATCATGTAATGGCCCTTTATATGTTGCAGGGGTTACATTCTGAATGACAGAATTGTGAACAATGAGTGGGAAGAAGGCTGAATGATCATAGCATATATTAATGGAGTCAAGAGAAACTGAGGAAAACCAAGAAAACCCTCAGTCAGGATATGTGGAGATTCAAACCCACAAACTGGATAAAGACACCAACTGTTGCATCATGCCGTAGTCATCCTGCACACAAATCCGCTCCCCTGCCTCACTTAATTCTAATTTTGTGGGGCATGCTGCCACAGTTAACTTAATGTGGGCTGCCACCAGCGACACAGCTTGTGGTTTTGCTTGTCAGCAGCTGAGAACTGCTTCTCACCGTTCATTCAGTGACATCATTGTTGTGCTCTTCAATACAATCTTCTTAAATGACATGGTGAATGTTGGCCTGTAAGCAGACAAACACAAATTATGCCAAGTCTGCATATCTCTAGGGGACATACTGTGTGCTGTTCTCAGGATTCTACATCACTGTCCTTTCTCACACCAAGAGACAGCTCTCCAGCAGAAGAACTCGAACATTCAACACTGTGAGAACTACAGCCTGCCAATGGATACTGCCTTGAGGCATCTGCCACCCTCAAAACCTATTTCCCCAAGATCGATTTTATCATTATTGTCTAAGCTCCTTCTTCTGGTCTCTCAAACAGACATTCCCAAGACACATCCCAATCAAAATTCTGTATGCATTTCTTGTTTTGCTACCTAACATATGCAGCCCATTACAGCATCCTCATTACATAATATCCCAAAACCATTCAATTCTTTTGTATGGAAACAGTCCAAATTAGGGGAACCTTTAATTAATTTACTATGGTTAAGTTCTTTGAAAATAATTACGTTCAGCCCACAATTAGTTCACTTTTCCTTTTTGCAGCAGAGGTGGTCCCTTTCTTGGTTTAACGAGAGTGGCTTAGGCCATGCCTGAAGCCAGCTGCGTGACAGCAAATCAGTCCAAGTTAACTGGACACATGAAACCAGGCTCTTTTGAAATCCTAAACTCTGACGTCCAGAAATTGTAATTTTAGCCAAGTCTTTCTGGACCAAAGCTATACCAAATTTTAATTTAACCACTATATGTAGCAGGTGGCTGGGTTCACTCCTAAGCCCCTCATCACTTGATATTCCTCTAATTGGAGGATGCAGATTAAAGCAGCCTCCCAGCTAGCCTAGTCCAGCCAATCAAAATCTGAAGTGGGACGTCTTTTGCCAGGAATCCATAAACAAGGGCAGATGTCTATCTTCAGAAACACTCAGAAAATTTCACTCACCAGGGACACATGCACCCAGCATATCTCTGAAAACATGTTTATTTTACAAACACTTGTAACAATCAGGCCTCTGTAAACAGTATTGAAATCAAGTGACACCCTTAATTTTCATTACTACTGACCTAATCCTTCCAGTCACACTATGGCCCTGGGCTTCACTCGGCCTCTAACAGAAATGAGTACCAGGAATTAAATAATTTTCCTGGGGAGTAAAGTGCAGCCAGCACGTAAGGCTGACAACCTTACCGCCATCTTTGAGCCGATTGTCTAGATAATGTGGGACCCTCAACGTCTCGCAACCCTATGGGCCTTCATGGCCTGTTACAGGGATAGCTTTACTTTACTTACTATGGTGAATCTGTATCACTACTGGTGCAGTTCCTAATAAAATTTTGGTCAACTGTCGATCAGTGCTGTCTGTTTGTGAATGGTTCTGCATCTGAGTGCACACACTCTTGATCACCCAAGTCACGGCCAGTCATCATGTCTCTCTCCCTGAGCTAGGCCACTACTAATGGCTACAGTATGCCCCAAATACTTCACTGGGCATTTGTTTTCAAACTCTTGTAATGTACAGTCTCTGTGCACCATTACCAAACAAAATAAACGCCAACATTTTCAAATTCTGATCTTAGGCATTTTGGAAAGCAAGTAGGATAATGTCAGTTTTCAAACTGAAACGTAAAAGAAACTTCTGGGACATATTCTCCTACGTTTGTTACTAATCTAATTTATCTGTTAGCAAATAATTATTAAACAATCCCAAAATGAGAGTTCAGGTCCTTATGATGGTGATTATTAAGAATAATGTCCCCTGGGTGGTGATGTAGTTTGGATGCAGACTTCTGCTTTCACTTCAGAGAAATGTGACATGTTCATCTTCTGCCCTCAAGTTGGAGGCAACAGCATGTTTCTCTGATATGACAGTAAACATCAGACATCACATTCAAGATGACGGTCGTCTTCACTCCCAAAAGATTTACCCAATATAATCATACAATGTCACATGTTAAGTGACTAGATACAAGGTTTGGGTTAGTAATTAGATTTAGCAGACTCTTACAACTCATAACTACAATTAATCATAGGGCCATCGCTAATTCACTTACTCTACAATTCACTACAGCATGCACTAAAGCTTCAGGTTGCTGTCTTCACTCACTAGTCGTCACATGATAATGGCCCCACCAAAAACTGTAGATTCTTCAGCTTCTGTGTTCATGTTCTTATTGTCTCATGACTCAACTTGTGCCTCAATATATACCCTTATGGCATACCCCACAGAAAACAATGCTTCCGAAAGTTCCTCTATTGTTTCATGTGTGTATCCACAAGAATACACCTCTTCCAATAGTTCTCCTGTTGTGTGTGTCTTCATTGCCAAGATACATGTTTATCAAGCCACTGGCCCCATCATCTGTGTTCTACAGTTCCACGGGATCCTTTACACCACTTCTGACACCAGCCGTCACGCGTTTAGTGACTACAGATGGGGTTTGGATTGGTAACTGGTTTAACTCCTACAAGTCATGACTACAAGAATTATAATCATTTTCACTAATTCACACACTTTTAAAGTTCACTACAGCAAGCTGTAAGTCTTCTACATCTTCACTAGGCGTTGCTATGTAACAGCTTCCATCAATGAGGGCTAATGCACCTACATCTCTGCCAGGGTGCAATTGTTGGGTTTGTGTCTGTTACTGCGGTCACACTGAGGTGACTGTTATGGAAATGTGTTTACAGGGCCACTGCATAGCAATGGACGTCTCTTCTGGTTTTGCTATCCCAGTTTTCAGCAGACATCACACTGCTCCCTCTTTAAGGCTACACATCTCCAGTAGATTATAGACATATTGCCCTTTCTTCTTCCAGATGGTAGGAACTGGCTCATGGCAGTGGCCGGCACTCCTACAGCTCTGGCTTTTAAGGTGTCGGCAGTCTGTTCTTCCATCTGGGCAGGAGACGGCTCCTCCGTGAAATTCTGACACTTGTCCTCTGCAGTCCAATGGCAGGCCCAACTATTCATTCACTTTGTAATCTCCAGCGCTATGGACCGCCTGAAGGTTTTGCTGAGTGTTCTTCTGCTTCCTAGACGTAATTTCCCTTCTAGCTGTTGGTCTCCTATGGTTAGATGCTGGTCCCCATATCAGTGTTCCAGTGTGCCAGTAGTCTCCACTGCTGCCTCTTCATTAGGGATTTCCTGATGCTCTGCTATGGCCTCTATTTCTCCTGCATTAGCCTCCTCCTTCTCCAGACAGTCCTTTGTCACTACTCACCAGGCCTTCATTGTCTCTTGCTGGGCATCCTGAATTCTCTTGACTTCACTAGCAGCATGTTCAAGATCTATCATCTTACATGTCGTATAATGATAGTTCATAACAAGTTTTAATTTATAAATTTTATTACTGAACAACGATGAACACACATTTTATATCATTTTATAAACGGACACTTGATGGCAGGCAGTGCAATGGTTTAACGTGAATGATACACCTGAGGATGGCAGAATGATGCCGGAACATGTAGTGTGAAGTGACAAGTGAAATTGTATGCACTAAAAGACGGTAAATATATACACATTATGGATAAAATATTTATTCTTATGTCTCTTTTGGAGTATTTATTATTTTCAAATTAAGTTAAAAAAGTATGTTAAAACATACTGCTATATTATAGTGATAAATCACTGTGTGAATGTTATGTTATTTTTTAGTTATGTTATCTTTCATGTGAAGTTGTTATTATTTTACATGTCCAATTGTAAGTCTCTACAGCTATGGATGAAATAAATAA